CGTTAATTCTATACCGAGACACAACAATATAACAGGAAATTGTATCAATGACGAGCTTCCATCAAAATTCTTTAACAAAAAGTACAATAAAAAAAGTTTTGAGGCAAGCCAAAGCACCTTTCACTCGAATTCTTACAAATTGGACTTTCTTGAAATTGGTTTTTAAACGACTTGAAATTAATTTCCAGATCTTTAACATACTAGATATATCTCGCTAAAATTAGTTCTAAAAATGACGTGGAGGGCTCTTATTATATGAAGAAATGACATACAGTACTAAAAGCAGTCATCCAGTACCACTGTCTCGAAGATTTCCCCTTGCTGTGAAATGGTTCGAATATTTCTCAGGTAAGGCATGCCTGTCGTAAAAGGCGACTAAAATCCCGGTTTCACGCCGATACTTATGTGAGAAGTGTGTATGGTAATAGGTGTTGTCCCAACCTGCGACACACGGCCGGAGGTGTAACTCCGGTACTATGGGGGTCAGTGCTCGCAGCTTCAGTTGTGCTGACCAGTTACGGTTGGACTCGTAGTGGCTGTGGTTGATACTCAAACTTATGCAAGAAGAATGCATCATTCATTCGACGTGGAGTTGTGGAGTTGCGCTCACCACCGGGTGGTATGACCCAAAGAGTAGTAGAGGTGTAGATGGGCCTCGCACTAAACAAAGGTGGAAGTTAAGTCTGTACACATTTCTTCATTGGTACCGGCGGACTCTTCTTATAAAATTTTAATGGACTATTTATTGACGTGTTGTATTAATACACGTATTTTTAAACACCGTAATATTAAGCCATCATAGCCTAGAATATTACGTTAAATAACATTGAGACATTGACATTATCTTTTAGATTGACACAACTCAGTAATGTATATATATTCTAGTCTAATGACTACGGTAGAAGCTCCGGTAGAAGCTATATAATAATAATTATAATAATAATTGCAATATGATAACAGAACGCGCCAAGTTAACCTGTGTCGATTTTGAAATAATAAAAATTAAAGACCACAACTACTTAACTACTTCAACAGTCATTTGTGAACCAGTCTAAAATTAGTCTAAATTTATACAAATTTTTTAACACTCTCATTAACACCAAAGAAATAGACAGACAAATATCGCTAATATGGTTAATTTTGTCTAACTGATAAACTGAGTTATTGGATTTTTACAGTATGCATAGGGATCCACCACTTAGGCCTGACCTATTATGTAGCTATATAATTTCCGGCGAACTTAAAATAATTTTGTTATTTCTATGAAACCCTAAAATATGTTCAACGATACATTTCTTATAAGTAGTAGGTGCTCTATAATATACATATATGGCTTACATCGTTATCAATGTCTTTTTTGCTATATTACATATATATTGTCATCAGTTATGTATTAGGTATACATAAACTGGTGTAAATATATTCAATAAAACATTTTAATCTAACTTTTAACTATTTTTTTTAAATATATTGAAGAATGAAAATATGTTTTAAAAATCAAAAATTTAAAATTTTATTTTATTATATTTTTTTCTTGATAAAAATTGTAAAAGTAAAGAAAGGAAAATCGCCACTGTTTTTTTGAATATATTAGAAAAGAAAAAAAGTAAGGCACTTCGGCAGTTTTCAATAATAGTTTATTAACTTCTAATTTTTGTACGAATTAACAGGTAGAACAGAGCGGAAGTTCACTAGCATCAAATTAATTTGCACTTTAGGAGTAAATATATCGAATAATACGGTTCAAAATTTTAACATAGTAAGGTTTGAATTTTAAAAACATATTGAAATTTAAATAATTTTTTTTTTGTGAAATTAAATCAAAAAAAAATTATTTGCAGATGTATAATTTTTTTTAATTAATTTCTTTCGGTAACTAAAAACTTTTAATTTTCCAATCCCCAATAGTTTTTGAAAACAGTACAAAAGTGCATCGAAAAGTGTGAAATTGTGGGACAACTTAAATTTATAAGTATATTTTATAGTTTGGTTTATAATCAATGTATCCACGAAGCTGCGATTTTTGGAAAACACAACTAAATTAATCGTTCCAACACGTAATGGATGAAAAATCGGGTAAGTGCCACATTTTTCTAATTTTTTTCACAACTTATATATTTTAACTTATATAAAAAATTAAAAATTTTAAAAGTATCTGCATTATGATAAATACTTGTGAAATAACCAACATGCAAAAGGCAAATTGCAACCGCAAAAGTTATTGGAATATTTTTTTTTGTATCTTATTTTGGCATTAAAACGTTGCAATTGACGTCAACGAAAAGATATAAAAATATTTTTCCATTTCGCTTTTATGAAAAAAATCTATTAACAATGCCAAAAAAACTTCAAACAAAGCAACTTTAATCACGAAGCCATTATTTATTACCAATCATAATTATCCTTGCTGCATAATTCGTCATTAAATATTTTTTCCATTTGTATGGAAAAAATTTTATTTGTGGCATTAGAATTTTAAGTCTATTTTGAGAAGTCTATTGTACTGGATAGATAGTTTTTTCGATTTAATAGCCTGAAAGACGCTAGTTTGAAGATTTTGTTCGTTATTCGTTAGTCTTACTGTTACTTTACATTGGAGACAATGGTTAGTGTAGAGGTGGGGACCCTGGTAACTTTAAGAGTATAGCAATAGGCAATAGGATAGTAACCTATCTTAGAATATTACTCACTACTCACACTAAACAATAGTATATTTAAGATTGATTTTTTTATCAAATGTGACGCGTCGTAGGACGAAAATAAACTAGAAGGATTCGAATAGTAATGAAGAAACAACAACAAACAATTTATTGAAATTTGGCTGACCATACGATGCTGGTTAAATACTTTATTTAATATCAATAATATTATTCAATATTTCATTGTGTAGAAGTTACATATTACATATCTAAGTGTTTCATCTCGAAATCTTAGCAACAAAAGTAATACCCAACAAATTTAATGATCATAATAAACAGTAGTATATTTAAGGAAGGTCACATTACTAATACGTTTTACCTATTTTTGATTTATATTACAAAATATTAATATTTTCAATATCTTTTTTAGTATTTCTTCTATTTACTATTGTAGTTAGGACATTTAAGATAATATTTTATAGTTTATCTATTTATCATGACCTCAGGAAATAACATTAACTTAATATAAATTTTCATTTAAAAATTACTGTAATAAAACAAAAACTTCTGCAAGGACGACGTAATGCCGTTTTCTTAGCAATCAGCGTATAAAAAATGATAGGCCTTAGCAATTCATGCTAAGCAACTTCATTTAAGCAACCACATTTAGTATCCCTACTATTTTTGGATACAGTCACACCACAAATAATGCAGTACGCTCGAGAGTCTAAAAATAACAACACTCATCAGCATAAAATATAATAAACATTACTTAACACAAACTAAATTATTCTACGTGAAAAATGGTACCATTTTGTATTGGAGTCGGGTGAGTGCGCCTAAAAGCAGGCAACACGTGCGCACTAAACTAAAAACACGCCACCAGCTTCAATGAAAGTGACATCGAACGAAACTATTTTAAAATCGTGAAATGTAATCACGACGAGGATAATGATGTTGGAAGTCGTAAACATTAAAACGAAATACAGCAGACTAGCTGACAGACGGACACACGTTCATACGTGTATAGACACACAATGCACGTATGTGTCAAAGTACATACAAACGAGCCTGAGTAAATGAGGTTATATCGCAATGTCTGATGTTGGTAGGCTGGCAGGCTCACAAACTAGACTTGTCAGCGTGGTTAAGTAATTTCGGTAATTCAGTCGATGAACTGCTTCGCTGGCAAGCGATAACTCTTGCCATAAATTTTGAGCCTAAGAAAGACTTACAGATTTCGGTAATCGAATGTGGCAGAAATGTGGTAATTGCCTTAGTAAACTACGTTCAGTTTAATTAAAAGTGTTAAAGTATAAATCTCTTCTCCACATCGTTAATTTTACAGTATAGAGCTGAAGTTAATTATTTAACTTAATTAAGTTAATCATGTTTTGTGTTTACTTTTCATAGCTAAGCTTGTTGATTGGTAGGTGGGCGCAATAAATTTGGCAAATAATCAGATACAAATTGCAAATTTGAGATTTAAATTAAGTACAGAAAATTCTGTTCTGATTTTAATTAAAGTTTAAGATTTCTTAAATATTGGATTAAATTGTGTTCCTGTGGTTGTAAGCATTTAAAACGTAGAGGAGTGTAAACTGAAAGTAAAGTATTTCTATTGAAAATTGAGGTTATTAGTGCATCGCGTGAGTTTGTTAGCTCGTAAGTACTTTAACTGTGGAAGTAGGCCTATTAGTTTTGGTTATGCAAATATTGATGAATGATAAAAGTACAGAGTGAATTCAAGTGAATTGAAGTGCAATATGTGCTTAAATTATAGATAAAGTGTGAACAATATTGTGTCATTGCATGAATCATTGAGTTTAATCAATGCAAGCAATAATCATGGAATATGCACTCATACTGACTGACTACCCAAGCGGTAAGTTTTGAGAGGTTTTTTTATATATATATATATTTTTATCTAATCGTAAGTTTAAGGGTTTTTTTTTTAAATATATTTTAATTTTTCCCTTCATTTTAAAATTATATAAATATAAAAAAATAATTAAGAAAAGTAAAGTATTTACTAATGTCGAAGAGCGTAGTAAAAAGAGAAATTATTTCGAGAATTTAAACTAATAGGATCTAAATCATATTCTATATAACTATCCGTATAACTAACAATCACTCTCAGTGTTAATTTTATTATCAACAAATTCATAAAAAGTGGTTCTGCTGCAACGTTCAGTCTTTTTTCTTTTTTACAGAATCTTTTATAACTTTTTCGCGTAAAGATTCGAATCAATTCTATCAGGGTCTAAAACTAGCAACCGAGAGCCATCATCGACAGTTACGAACACCCAAACTAACACAAATCGTAGTAATTTTTTGGACTTTTAAATATCCAAATTTTAAAATAACCTCATAGTCAAGTAAACTCGATCTCATTGATCGTTTTTGAATTAATAAATTTGGAAGTAGGTATTTCTCATCAGAGAAGATACTATTCAGTGTTTCGGTTCATTTGTACAAGTGCAATAGCTACTTGGCTCTGTTAAGGTAATTTCTTTTGGCATCTGTAAAATCTTGTACTATTTGGAACTAGTAAAGTTTTACTTTGAGCTTTACAAGCTCATACTTTTAGTGTTTTCATTTTGTGATCATTATTGATATGTTTCATTGAGATTTTATTCTACTTGAGCGTTAATTTTCCAAACTGCTAACGTCGATGATGTAGTTTTTTTGGCCTTTAGTGTAGGGTTTTGCAAAACTAGCAGTTAGTGTTTATTTTAGTCACTTATAAGTATGTGAGAATTCAAAAATAGTGACTTTTTGTTTTTCGCTTGAATAAGACAATATCACACTATCATGTTAAAATTCCATTAGAGATAAACTTGTATTCAAAATATAGATTGAAATGGTATCATCTAATCGGCTTTTATTTGGCAAAAAATTGATGCAATATTACTACGAGTTTAAAAGTTATAAAGTGGGAGTTGCATAATTTTGTCTATTAGGAATTCTTCTGATGAAAGAAAAGCGAATTTGCCGAAATACGTATTAAAATATATGTACTAAAAGCAAGGATCGAAATAAAAGTTAAAATTCTGAAAAAATAAAAACAACTTTAATGCTACAATATTATTTTTGAAATATATATCTTACTCTTTTTAAATTTTTATTTTGATATCTTAATAGTTAATTATAGGTGAGTTTCAATTAAATTGTCGGTATTGCACACCAAAGTCCATTGTAGCACAAATAATGATCCATTGTGTTACCACGGGTTAATATTGTGCATATAACAGGCAGAGGGTGTCATTAAAGCAAGTATAAAGACTGAAATCGTCAACGAATAAATAACGTTGAAGAAGACGGACATTAACTTTCTCATTTAAGTAAAACTAGATAACAAATACTTTGTATATAAAATAAATGTACTTAAATTAATTAAATTTAGACAGATTTAATTAAGCAACAAGGAATGCTATTCTTTATAAAAAAAAATCATAAATTGTTTTGATATCTTTTTGCTATATGTGTAAAGCACATATTACAGAGACTTTTTAAATTAACAAATTAATTAAATATTATTAAAATATTTTTTATATTAGACCCATTTGAAAAAATTTCTGTGCCAACCTGTCAAAATCGGTCATTTGTCAACTCGACAATTCTATGCATCACCAACCGTAATATACAAACAGAAAAACAACAAAACACTTTTTGTTTTGATATATCATTCATATATAAATATAAATTTATAAATAATGCTTTTTTTGAATTTGTTGTTTAGTGTAGAAAAAATTAATTGATTTGAAAGAAAAGAAAAATAATTCGCTAATAATCCGAAAACAATTTAAATATCCGCGTGAGCATTTGGGCAGGCATAGGCGTTAAATAATGACCAAAGATACACAAGAACACCAAATTTCTGAGCTGAACTGTCAGTAATTTAGATCTCTGAACAGGTGTTGTATCTAAATATTTGCAAATAGGCGAGCATTTTGCTTTCTGCCAAATGAGTAAGTTTATTTTGATTGTCAAGGTGACAGCAGCCACCTTGTGAGCACCTTGCAAAATATTCACGCTACACTATCCAAACGTAAGGAATTTAATATATTTGCTATTATGTGTAAACATTTATTGCTAGATTTTCTAAATCATTTCATAAGTTGTATTATTGGCAGCTAAATTGAAGACAAATTTGTTTACAAATAATTTGAAACAGCATTAATTAATTAGGAGGATGTTCGTTTATTTTTCATCTGAGACATAAAGTCACAAGATCTTTCCACAAAAAAATTAAATTTTTGGACTCTTTGATCTATATATGCTATATTCAATAAAAATTTTTTATTACCTTTTTGCTTTTATCGAAAAATAAAAAAAAATTACTAATGTCATTTATTCCACAATTATTAAGATAAAAGCTGTTTATAGTCTGCCCATTTATCTTAGGTGTTTGATACTGATTAGAGATATTTTGCAATAGGAA